TGACAGATTGATAGCTCTTTCTCGATTCTGTGGGTGGTGGTGCATGGCCGTTCTTAGTTGGTGGAGCGATTTGTCTGGTTAATTCCAATAACGAACGAGACTTCGGCATGCTAACTAGTTACACGGCCACGTGCGGTTGGCGTCCAACTTCTTAGAGGGACAAGTGGCGTTCAGCCACACGAGATTGAGCAATAACAGGTCTGTGATGCCCTTAGATGTCTGGGGCTGCACGCGCGCCACACTGAGTGGATCAGCGTGTGTCTACCCTTTGCCAAGAGGCGTGGGTAACCCGCTGAACCCCACTTGTGCTAGGGATTGGGGATTGTAATTATTTCACATGAATAAGGAATTCCCAGTAAGCGCGGGTCATAAGCTCGCGTTGAGTAAGTCCCTGCCCTTGTACACACCGCCCGTCGCTACTACCGATTGGATGGTTTAGTGAGGTCCTCGGATCGGCCCCTCCGGGGTCGGTCACGGCCCTGGTGTCAGCCATGGCCCTGGTGGAGCGCCGAGAAGACGATCAAACTTGACTATCTAGAGGAAGTAAAAGTCGTAACAAGGTTTCGTAGGTGAACCTGCGGAAGGATCATTACCGGCCGTCCCGCCCTCAGGCAGCCAGGGCTGCGAGCTGTACCATGAGGCTAGCCTCCTCTCTTTCACTGCCTTCCTTTTCAGAGGGGCAATGGTATCAAGTGTATTACGCAGGAAGGCTGCAGTACTATGAACAAGATTATCGATTTGTGTGGGAGTAAAGTTAAGGTGGCCTCCTTCCACTGTGTTGGCAAATGGCACTGAAGTAGATAAAGACGGAATTATTTCCTTAAACTTGGTAACAGCATTGCCAGATAGACATCTGCTGTAGTGGAATTGTTTCCCACATAGAGTATAATCCATTAATGGAAATTCAAAAGTTATTAGAAAATGGTCAGACAGAAGAGGGTTATGGGGAAAAACTATTAAGTGTTCAGTTTCGATGCCATATGTCAGAACAAGATCAAGAGTGTGATTAAAACAGTGAGTGGGTTTAGTTACAGTTTGAGAGAAGCCAACTGAGTCTAATAATGAACAGAATGCATTGTTGAGGCTGTCATTGTCAGCAACTACATGAATATTAAAGTTGCCTACTATGATTATTTTATCTGGTGGATTCATTTAGACTGACATATTCTTCCTGCTGTAACCATGTTTCAGTAAGACACAATAAGTCAATGTGATGTTCACTTATCAAATCATTCACTAACAGAGATTTAGATGAGAGAGATCTGATATTTAATAGTCCACATTTGATTGTCCTATTACTTTCTACTATAAGAGAAGTAGTAGTAGCAGTAGTTTCTTCCTATATTTTATATTTACCATACTCAGAAATATACTAATGTTTCTTTTGATTCAGATTATTCATCTGCTCAGTGTTAAGAAATGTTTGCTAAGCCTACCACAGAAATCAAGTTGTATCTTTTTATTTATATGGTCCAAAACAGAAAATCACAAATTTGTCTAAAGGAGTTTTACAATCCATACAGCATACAAACCCCTCTGTCCTTAGACCATCAAATCAAATAAGGAAAAATTCCCCAAATCAGAACCATTTAAAGGGGGAACATGGAAGAGCAACAGAGGAGGGATCCTTTCTTTAAGGAGGGGCAGACATGCAATAATTGTCATAGGTACAGAATAAATTAACATAATGGGTTTACATTATGGGCAGTCAGAATGACAAAAATTGTATATTGTAACATATATGAAAAATGTTCTATAATCTAAACATATTAGGAGCAAACAAAAATTAGGATTTAAAAAAAGCAGACTTACTGAACTTCCTGTTTTTAGAAAGTGTGTTCACTTATTACCTGTGAAGGAACTGATTTTGTGTTTATGAATTAAGCTCCCCTGCTTTCTATTTTTGTGGCTTAATCTTCTTCTGTTTCATTTAATTGCTTTGAATAAAGCCTGGTTATTCTCCACCACATCGCTCTGTCTTTGGACTTGGGTCTGGCATTAATTAAAATACCTAAACATGGCAGTTACATAATTCTGAAACATAAAAACCTAATTAAACTGAGCGTCTCCCTGAGCAATGTGTATTCCTTCCCATAAGGGTGGAGCATTCTCCATACAGTGCAGTATATCCACTGTGCTAATCTCTGCACAATCTCCTCAAGGTATTTAGTCTCTATATATTAAACCAGACCCCCCTTTTCATTAATACCTACAGTATTTAACATATAGGTAGCTCAGTCCTGCTTTAGATAACATTGATCACATAGTCACAGACGGCATATGAAGCGAATCTAGGGCCACATATGAAAGTGGCCCAGATCTGATATGAGCTGGGCCACTTCAGCATGTAATGTGAATGTAGCCTAAGGGTAAAAATAATTTCTCCTGTGCAAAGCCGCACTACAGCTGCATGAGCACTGTGCATGCGTACACAAGAAAGATCTATTTTCATAATGCCATGAGGTGTAATTCAGGGGGTCTACATAAATTGCCTCACCCTGCATCATTGCTTTTCTCCTACTACTTCTCCTCATCTGCTCCTCCTCCTCATGCCTCTCTGTCTCCAAGCGCATTGTTAAGGCTCGCCAATAACCAGATAAAGGACACACCGGGGAACCTGAGCTGAGACAGCAAGAGAACAAGAGAGAAAGAAGGGAGGAAGGGAGAGATTATTAGAGCAGAGTTATACTGTAGTGTGTGTGCACGCGCCTCTAATGTACATGTTGAGCGATATATCTATGAGACTCCACACTTGCTGCTTTAGAGAGGATTTTTTAATTTCAGATGGGGAGGAAAGAAGAAATGAGTGAAGTAGAAGGAGGAGGAGAGGAGGGGGGAAAGTTGGTCTAAAGACCTAGCAGCGAAGATGCAGGACTGGGAGACTGGAAACGGGAGATAGGGGAACGACTGCATATTGGCACCAAAATGGGATATATTGAGGAGTATGTGAAAATAAAACCAATTGCACAGTCTGGAATGTCAAGATAAAGTGTCTTTATTCTGGAAGCTTTTTGGAAGAAAGTAAAAAATAAATCTAAATTTATTTGTAGTCATAAAAATATATACTGTATATGGTCAATTAAGACACGATTGTTATTAGAAAATGTGTGTAGGGACTTTCACACATTTACATTCAGCTATAACCTGTAGAATAATCCAGTAGTTACATTTATGTGGTCATATTCCCCAAACAGCCACAGTCTAAAAACACCTCCTCATAAAGTGACTCACAGACAAAGAATTTCTCCACACACGCATACAGGACAATTAGCATTTTAATAACTTAGAAGCAGCAGTTCGAACGAAGTCTACATGCCAGTCATGTTTGATGTTTAACAGTCTACAGCTATTAAAGGCCCAGAAACCTGCATTTAAAGGTGATCACCAAATGGCAAGAAACTAAATCTTGAATTGCAACATCCAGAAAGTAACTACACAATGAGAGAGTCAAACAATGTGTTGTAGGTGCTCTCTGTAGAAACTGAAATATGCACAGTTGCTCACCCCTGAAATGTTTATCTGTGACTACAGGGTGGGTGAAAAGTAACTAGGCATTATAGCCAATTTTTAATGCCTAGTTACTTTTCACACACCCTGTAGACAGACAGACAGACAGACAGATAGACAGATAGACTTTACTGTCATTCAAGTCTGTTCCAGCAAGAACAAAATTGAATGAAATTTCGCTGCACATTTAGGCACTTAACAAAGCTGTATGTGCTAAAACTTAGTGTAAAAGAATCACAAGTAAAAAAAGCCAATAAACTGACTCAGTAAGGTCAGTTATCTTAAATTTTGTTAACATTAGTTAACACCCATTGGTCTTATCAGACCAAATAAAGCTGTAGCTAGAAAACCCCTGAGTGAATTGAGAATGAGTTAAGTTATTTCATTTGTGAGAGAACAGTTATTTCTTCTTTCAGTGTTTACAGTACACAGTGTAGGTCCAAATGTGATTCTAACTATTAACTCTTCTGGCACCATCACCATATTTATAACAGCACAAATAAACTCCTGCTAGATATGCAGAAGTAAGGCCACTCCGGCTAAGGTCCACTTGGAGGGGTTGTCTTTGGTCTTCAGGTTGAAGGTCCACACGTATGTAGGTCCCCTCTGACGGGTCTTGTAGACAGGACACTGGTAGACGTTCCTGCTCTCCTGTTTGTCCACTGGGATGGCCCTGATGAAGATCACCGGCATGGTCGGGGTGAGCTCTTTCAGCCGGGCATCTACAATAATGCCAGTCTGAAAAAGAAAGAAAACACAGGAGGTGAAGGGAGAGGGAGGGGAGGGGGTAAGCAAGTCAACCACAGACAGAAGCATTTAACAGATCTGACGGATGTTATACATTTGCATTATGCATGGTTAAAAACATTGTCCAACGCATTTAATAATGCTCTTTAGTAAGAGGAAGAAAAAAAACAGTGATGTTTCTTAATGTTGGCACAAGCAATATTTGACTTTGAGTTTGCAGAAGACATGTGGTGGTGCCCTTGAAAAGTAATGAAAGTCAGCAGCGTTTGAATGGAAGTCAAGCTGCCCTGCCTCAGAATACACTCTCTCTCAACACTGAAACAGAGTGGTCTGTCTCATTAATTAATCCTCCTATACTTAGTGCCTGACAAACACAAGTTTCTCCGTGCATGCACAGTGACTTTCAGGAATGAATGTAAATCCTGATGACTTTGGAAAGCTCTGAGGACAAAGCCCTAATTGCATCTGCAATTGCTATAAATCTTTAGTGGTGTTAAATACTACTAACTTTATGTCAAAATGAGTGAATACAAATAATGGGTACCATAAAGAGGGTCATGTGGGTTCATTGAGATTGATTATATATTAGTTTTACACCACTGGATAAAGTATATACACTGCTACTATGGCAACAGATGTCCGTTTATTGTCTCACGGCTTATTGAAAGAAATAAGTGCAGTAAGTACTCCAACTTACTCATCATCATTAAGTGATGTCTATCACAGAAACACAGAAGCTTGCCCTGTTCATTTGTCTCATCCATTCAGCCCCCAAGGTGTTTATCATACACAGTGTCTAGTGGTATTTGAAGGCTGAAACCCCTCTGAATAAAACGCCAAGGTTCATTAATATAGATGAGTAGGTTTAAAATAAATCTTTGACTTTCAGTGCTACACTGAGTTGTGTTCAGATGGAGGACTGCTTACTTTTCTACCAACACTGTGCTACACTGCACCAGAGGCACAGAACCGGCTTTGGGGCTGAGATGAGGACATTAGGAAAGGAGGAGGAGAAGAAGAGAGGAGAAGCCCCATGGCCCGTCTGTCCACCTGTCTGTTTACCTGAATCTCCAACTTAATGAAGAAAAAGGGAACCACTCCTGTAAAGGATGATCTAAGCGTTCAAATGCACACACTGCACATTCCTTAATTAAGAAATCTACAGGGATGCTCCTTGAAAGCAGGCTGCATATACAGTAACTGTATGTATGTAGATAGATAGATCCCTGGGAAGCTGAGTAATGTGCTGTGCTCCGAGAGCTGAATGCAAGCGGGTTGCAAAGGAGAAAATTTAAGTCGCATAAGGAATGTGGAAATCCTCAAGGGCAAAAATACTGCAGTTGCTTTACTTAACTCAGTTTAAAGATACATTTTGAGGTTAGCTTGCCTCAGTTCATGTGTCAGTCTACCATCTATCAGCAGAAGTAGTGTGTAAAGGAAGATTTCTGTATAAGGTGCTTGTGATTCCAAGTGTGCTGTTTTGGAGTTTGTACACCATCCCACACCTTCCTCATTGTGTCATTTGCTAACGTGATGACAGTCAGCTAAACAGAGCAATTAACAACTCATGCACCTGTGTGTCCCAGCGTGCGCCTTCCATGTATAGCCCATGTACATAGGCCCCTTCGCGCGGTGGGGAACTGAAGTCCTCACGATTCTTCTTGGTAACATCACACTGGAGACCCATACTGTCAAGAGGCCACTCATTTCTGTACATACACAGAGAGATGTATGTGGTTTCCATTAAATATCAGCCTACATGTGTTAAGCCCTCAACACATCCAACTGTACCTTCGAGCCATAGCCTGCATGATGGCTGTGAGGAAGGACTGAGGGTTGAAGAAGCCGGCCAGCCACACCGCAGAGGGTAATACAAAGTCAGTTGACCAGGCTTCTAACTCCTTGATCCTGGCCAGCAGGTCAGTGAACCACAGGGCTAGGCCACACATGGATGGGTAAGCCCGCTTGGTCCATCTGTCAGGGACTACATCCAAGAATATGGCATTCTGAAGGCTCTCCATGTCACTGGTCATGGTTAACTCTCCCTGAAGGGAGAAGGTCACAGACAAAAGAGCATTTTGAGTCAGCTGAACCCATCCATTTTGCTGTCAAACATAACTGTCAAAGTAAGGTTCAAATGTATTTTTTTTATTACTGAAAGTAAGAAAAAAGTTAATGGGTGACCAGTAATGCTCTTTAAGGCCAGTGAAAATCATCTATGTGTCAGTGAAATAGCAACTGACATACTATAGTACCTACTTGCAGGGCTAGCTGGTCAACTACGGTAGCTAACAAGCTAAACAATAAAGTGAAAACCAGTGCAAAATATGATGGCAATAATGCTCAGAATAACTCTCTGACCTAGTTAGTCTTTTAACTAAGTAGATCAGTCAGTGATGGGTGGTTTGCTCCATAAACCTCTTGTCAAGCAATTTACACTATGACAGAGGAGCTAAGAAGCTATGATAGCATCCTTTGTTTTGGCCGACCCTGTGGTTGGTGGACGACTGGCTCTTCTTTGCCTGCTCAGCCACAGCCAACCCAAAAATAAGATATAATTCACCTCCTCATAAGCCTTAGAGTCAAGATGAACGTAAGGTTGAGGTTCCTGTTTTTTTTACTGGATATCAGAAAAATTTGTTGTAGCCTATAGTTTGGCTTTCATCCTCTTTCTGGTCATCTGAACAATATCAACTTTTATTAGGATGACAGATGCTGCCTCATTTTTTACATACAGGTTCTTCATTGTTGTTCTTCATTACAGGAAAGAACTGAGGGTTTAATGTGCCACTTCCTGTTTGTCTTAGCAGCTAAACATTGGAGGTGACACCTCCCAGCCGCAGAAGGTGTTGAACTGTAACAAATCCTCAGAAACCACTGATGCATACATAAACACGAAGACAAGTACATCATACCAGATAAGGAAACATGCTGCAAGATAGCCAAGAGAAGATGGCACAAAAAACTAATGAGACAGCATACATGTGAAAACAGTGATGACCAATGATACTGGAGCTGACGTGTTACTGATCTACAGATGTGTGACAGTCATACCAATTCTTTATGAGGGAGATAAAGTTCTGTAGACATATCTACATTGGTGCAGCTACCGCGAACCTTTCACCTCTGCAACCTCAAAATATTCCTAATTTGTCGGTTCATTCACAGCACACCATGGCACTGCTGCACCACTTTGCCAAGGTTAACATTCTGATAGTTCCTATTCCACTATAAAGATGAAATATGATTCGATTTGCTGGTACAGTCTGCATAGCTTTTAAATCACTGAGCCAATTTATTGAGGCTTGTAGAGTCGGGAGATCGAAGCCTCATAACTCCTGACAAACACTTGTACACATTTTAACACAATCTTTCTCTTTTCATTTGCTGTTAACACACGACTCAGTCAGACTTGAAACACAGAGATGTCTTATTCCTTTCTGCTCGTCTGTAAGCCAGATCTCTGAGTCACTCTTAAGACTGGGCTTCTGACAAAGAACAGAGAATAAGGCTTAGTTATGCAGGAATATTAATGCAGCAGCTCGTCAGTGTCAACAGCAGCTGAGCCAACATAGAAAGTCAGGCGTTTTGAGGAAAACAGAAGGTTGTACATTTTGACTGTTCACTTGAAGTTATTTTATATTTAAGGTATTTCGCTCTTAGCACACTCCCTGTGGGGCCTGTGGTTCGCAGTATGGGATCTGTGGACAAGGGTAATTTAAAATAGGACACAAGAAATTAGTTGAATATATTTGAGACATTTTAGAATTTATATTTGCATATAAAAACACTTAAGCAATATATAGTCTAACAGTTTTTCCTTAAAAAAGTTTGGTGAACCTCTGTAATAGGCCCCTCATTGTGCATTCCAGGATCTATGAATATGCAAATTTATGCAAATGTACATAAAGCTGATATTGGGTAAGGGGCAGGGTACACCCTGTGCAGGTTGCCAGTCTATCACAGGGCTGACAGCGAAGGACCTTATGAAGACAGTGGAGGAAACAGTTACCAAAGTATCTATACCCACAGTAAAACCAGTCCTATATCGACATAACCTGAAGGGAAGAAGCCACTGCTCCAAGACCACCATAAAAGAGGCAGACTACGGTTTACAGCTGCACGAGGACAAAGATCTGACTTTTTGGAGAAATGTCCTCTGGTCTGATGAAACAAAAATTTTACTGTTTGGCCATAATGACCAACGTTATGTCTAGAGGAAAAAGGGGGAGGCTTGCAAACCAAAGAACACCATCCCAACCATGAAGCACAGGGGTGGCAGCATCATGTTGATTGTGTGTTGTTGTGTTTGTTGTGTCCTGATGCTTTTCTTCTTTTGTCTCTCCTATCCTATCCACTCACCCCAACCGGTCGAGGCAGAAGGCCGCCCACCAAGAGCCGAGGTCTGTCAGAGGTTTCTTCTGTTAAAGGGAGTTTTTACTCTCCGCTGTCACCAAGCGCTGCTCAAGGGGGATTTGTTGGGTTTTTCCCTTTATAATATTAATCATAGTAAGGTCTAGACTTTACTGTGTAAAGTGTCAGGAAATAACTTTTGTTGTGATTGGTGCTGCACAAATAAAACTGAATAAAATTTAAAACTGAATGTTGTGGCGGTGCTTTGCTGCAGGAGGGACTGGGACACTTCACAAAATAGATGGCATCATGAGGAAGGAAGATGATGTGGATATATTGAAGCAACATCTCAAGACATCAGCCAGGAAGTTAAAGCTTGGTCACAGTGGGTCTTTCAATGGACAATGAGCCCAAGCAGACTTCCAAGGTTGTGGCAAAATGGCTTAAGGACAACAAAGTCAAGGTATTGGAGTGGCCACCACAAAGCCCTGACCTCAGTCCAATAGAAAATATGTGGGAAGAACTGAAGAAATATGTGTGTGTGTGAGCAAGGAGGCCTATAAACCTGACTGAGTTCCACCAGTTCAGGAGGAATGGGTGAAAATTCCAGCAGCTTATTGTAAGAAGCTTGTAGAAGGCGTCCTGAAATGTTTGACCTAAGTTCAACAATTTAAAGGCAAAGCTACCAAATAACAACTGAGTGTATGTAAACTTCTGAAACACTGGGAATGTGATGGAAGAAATAAAAGCTGAAATCAATCGTTTTCTCTACTGTTACTGACATTTCACATTCTTTTTTTGTTTTCTCAGGTTTGGTTAACTGAATTAGTTTTACATTTTCAAAACTCATAAAATAACACTGTATTGAACAGAAGATGGTTAATTTACAATTAAAAGGCAGCAGAGAACTTGTGTTTCTAAGTTGAAATGATTTACAGAGAGAGAATCCTCAACCAAACGAGAAACAGTTCCACTAAGTAATTCATTAAAGGTACTCCCTACAAAACAGTGGTGATGCTTCCTTCCTGAAAATCTTGAAGATGTACAAATCTGCACCATGTATGCAAAATATGAACCTCATGAATGACCATTGTCTGCAAGAGCCTCAAGTTTAGCTGATCCTACAAGAGTCAGTTTACTCTATGGCAGTTCCAAACCAGTTTTAAATTTGTAAGGAGTGGTGGGATGTTACTGGTACTGGAAGTGTGAGTGTAATCAGCAAATAAAGAAACGTAGTTTTGGTGTTTATTGTTATACAGCTTTCCTCAAATTCTGCTAGATGCGTCTCTCCCATACATTAAGTGTGATTTGGAGGGTCAGGGGGACTGACTGACCTCCGCTAACGGCCCTAAGAAGCTGCTGTTAGACTTTCCTTTTCTTCGCTGTACTGACAGAGTCTGGTGGAGCTTTGACAGTCACCACAAGCATCTTTATGTATCTTTGAGAGAGTCACCTGGGTGAACAGCACTCTGGTTAGTGTTTGTCTGTGGAGAATGTCAGTATGATGCAGTAGCACTGCTGTTATCATGGTTAATGTTTCTGTGTATCGTGTTAAGCTCTGTATCTGGTAGAATTATCAACAAGATGGTGTGTTGTGTTTACAGCCACTGCAGAGGAATAAATCTTGTTCATGTTCAACATCATTTTTGACTCTTGTCAGGATTGTTTATGTTAATGTGACCAGCAGCTGTGTGTGAGGCACAAACTGAGTCACTGGTTAGCTAGTGCTCTGTATTTTTACAGTACTTGTTATTTTAAACTAAAGACGCACTGATTGATCGGCTAGAGATTGGAATCGGCCTATTGTTAGCTTAGCCATTCTGTACTGGCCATGTGGCATCTTGCGTGGACCTCATGCTAGGCTCACGCTCACATCTATACCGTTTTGACTCACACACTGGAAGCGCTTGGTGTACAAAAAGCGCACAGAAGAGCAGAAACACCTTGTAGAAGAAAAACTTTACTGGCTACACTTGAAATGTATGTACAGCTGAAGTCAGAAGTTAACATACACCCAAGCCAAATGCATTTAAACTCAGTTTTTATGTCAGCTTTTATTTCTTCTGTGGGTCAGAAGTTTACGTACACTCAGTATTTGGTGGCATTGGCTTTAAATTGGTTAACCTGGATCAAATGTTACAGGATGCCTTCCACAAGCTTCTTAAAATAAGTTGCTGGAATTTTTGCCCAATCCTCCCCCCATTCATCTTCCTTCCTCGTGATGTCATCTATTTTGTGAAGTGCCCCAGTCCCTCCTGCAACAAAGCACCCCACAACATGATGCTGCCGCTCCCACTTAATGCCGGTCATTATGGCCCAACTGTTCAATTGTTGTTTCATCAGACCAGAGGACATTTTCTCCAAGAAGCCAGATCTTTGAAGACCAAAACAAAGCTAGAAGGAAAATGACTACCGTTCAGTGGACAGAAACACAACTCTCAATAAATGCCAATGCGGCTTGATGCTGGCAACTGTTTCTTTATGGTTGTGTTATATTTATGGCTTAGATCAATTAATGCATGGTTAAATACTACAGTAATCTGTACTCTCAAATCAAGAATTTACTGTTTCCTTCTCACTGAAATCACAAATTAAAAAGCCTTGGTTAAATCTGTTGCTATGGGGAACAAACTTCTGATGAGGTTCAAGGATTAAGACATTGTTCAAGCAAATACATGCATAGCATTGACGCCCTTTTGACCTCACTGCTGGCATCAGAGTCTCCCCACCTTCAGTCCCAGGCTGAGCTCATGGAGGGAGCGTCTGATCTCCTGGGTGAGGAGGTTCATGCGCTCACACTCCTGCAGCGCCACCACCTGGTAGGGCGTTCGCTCTTCTGCTTTCCCCAGCAGCTCGGCCATGTTGAAAGCCTCCGGGAGTCTATCCATGATCTCCTCTAACACTGCACGCACCTGATAATAAAGGAAGGAGTGTGTCAGTGAATGAATTGAAGGTAAAAACACACAGTTTGATCCATCTTTACTGTTAAAAAAACTCAGGATACAAAAAACCCAAAGAGAGAGAGAAAATTCCTTGAAATGAAAGACTGATGAGACATTGAGGTTATCTATGTCAGACAATCTCAGTGCTGCCAGTGCTGACAGCCTGAGAAACCGTTACAGTTTGAAATAGACAGTTCCATAAATATTCATGAGATATTTTGCAATGGCAGCTCTTTGTTTTCAATAAGTCTAATCCCTTCAGAAAATCAATGCTCACATCATATTTTTGTGGGTAAGTGATGAAAGCTAATGTCTGTGTCAACATTTTCCCAGGGCAACCGGCGTTAGCAATCAATCAGTGGATTAGGTGCTGAACAAAGGATATGAGGTCATCATATCTATGGATTTTTTAGTTCAAATATCTGATCTTTGTTTGGCAGCTACTGAGCACACTGAATACAAAGTGGGCCTTGTTGGTAAGCTCTGCATGGCTGTCATCTGTTAGGACAGGAGTATCCAGGCTTCTGAGCCTCAAAGGTCACGCATCATAATACGTTAAGGAACGAAAACACACACACTGATAACACAGCATGCACTGCCTTAGAAGATTGACACTAGAAGGATGTTTGATAGAGTAAGACCAGATCAGAGTTACTGTAACTAAAACAGTCTTTCTTCAGGAAATCAGACTGTCAGTAAATTTTGTTTTATAAAAGAGGTTTAAATAAGTCTGACCTAAGTTACAATGCACACATTTCCTTCGAGACTAGCATGACCAATGGACCAGCAACCAGAAAACCTGTCTTGAAGAAGCCTAACAAACTGAACCAGGAAGAAGCCGTTCCTGACTCTGAGCTAATGAGGTCAAGTCAAGTCTGATTTAAAAACTAATCGTTCATGACTTCAAAACAGACAAAAATGAACACTGCATTGTTCACTGTCACAGAGTAGCATGTATTAAACATAAAATATAGATTAATCAAACAAGCATTAATCAAACCACTGCAATTAACACACAAGAGAACTTTCAGCAACATGTCTCAATCCATTAGTGAGCTCAGACACAACTTGGGAGTAGCTTTGCTTGCTGCAGTACTCGGCTTGTATTAATAACAGCATGGGTTCAAGCCCTGCATGAATAATCAGAAACTTCGTTTATCATTAGTGCTTAAAGATATGTTAGCATTCATATTTTCTAGAAACTACAGTTTAATATCAAATGGATTTTGCTTGTTTGTATAAGTAACATCCTCTGTCCTTAAGGTGGAAATAATGTCTCTAGCTTCAGAGGGGCTGTCTGGTCTGTATTTGCCAAAACTGTTTACTGTTTAGCACAATTTTACAGTATACTACAGTGCTTTTAAAGTGCACAAGTTAACTGAAGAAGTTCAGATACTTTAGACTGAAAATGCTAAGAGCTCAGATTCTATCTGCACAAAAACTGCAGCGCACATCAAAATGTGATTAACTGCACATGAACAGCAAACTGACTGACGGCTGAAAGCGTAGCTGTACAGAGGGACTGTCGGGGAGTGTTTCAGCCTGGCAGATTGATTGTAATACTGGTTAAACCTGAACTTCTCTAAACCTCCTTTATCAAACAGGATTTCCTCAAAGTAAGCCTGACCTACTCAAGTAAACCTGGTTTAACTGGTTATCCTGATTACCTTTCATGCTAAGCTTCATCTCAGGCTTAACCAGTGTATCAGTCAGGAGGGAAACAGTTTCCTCGTATTTTCTCCATGATGGCTTCCTTTCAACCACTGCACTGTGAAAAGCATTAAGATCAATTTGCAGCATGTCAAATTGATCACATTTGGCACGCCATGCACTTATTTGAACAAATCTGGCTGCTGGAGGCCACCTGGACTGGAGAAAGAGTTGCAACTTCAAAAAGTGTTTGAAAATTTGTTTGATTCTGAGGCGGATGAATATTTACTTATGCAGATGGTTCAGAATGGCTGTAAATGCTGTTAAACAACTGTCTGAGTTTCTCACACATCACATTGTATTTATCTTTCAATGAAACAGATGATTACCACTGGGACTTGAATGTAATGCTAATACACGAGTGGCATAAACTAAGGAAACACCAAAATTTAACTTTATCACTAGTAATTAACACTGATCAACATGCAATTATTATGTTCTAATTTATGGCTAAGAAGCGCCTCATCATTCAGAAGCTTAAAAGTAAAACTGCTTTTTATTAAAAAAGAAGTTATTTCAGGAGCAAAATCAAGCTTCTTGTAATACAAGTTTTAAAAGCCTGGATTATATCTTGCTTGTTTCAAGCAACAGTAAGCATAAATTACTTTTTAACAAAACCAACACTCAGACAACCAAGACCCTTATTTACATTATTAAAAAGGTGACACTTTGAAGGAATGCACAGGGCTGCACTGTCTCTGAAAGAATATTTGTTTTTACATTCAGAAATGTTTTATTTCAGAGTGGTACTGAACCAGAAAATGCACCAGAAAATGCCATGCCTGTAAAAATCACCCTGGCTGCTGTCAGAGTCTCCAAACAGTTGGTCTGCAATTTATTTTCAATTCAGTGTTCAGCAGCACCAGGAAATGTCACCTGTTGTCATCATACATTTAAGATTTGGTGCTCTTTCCCGAACTTCAGTAAGACAGTCGTCTTTGTGAAAGGTCTTGGTTTAAATGCATGTATGTGCTCCGGATATCTCCTGTATAATGACTTGACTTTTCAAGGCAGAATATCATCACAAAATCATAACTCAAATTCAAATATTACCATTTTACCCCATTAATCCTCACTGTCCAGCAAGTGGACTCATCATAACAAGTCTTATGCTGAGCAACAAACATTATTCAAACTCACAGAATCTGAGAGAATCTGATTTGATATTCTAGTAAAGCTCCAAAGTTTGCAAAGATGGCAAAAATGTTAAAGTATATTTTGGGGAAACATATAAAATGCAGTGGTGCAAGTAGCATTCAGTGTTTACTTGCATAAAAAATCCTCCATAACTGTAGAATGGTAATGTTTCTTTGATGTGATGGCTAACGACTCCTAATCCCATTCTCATGAATTTGACTGCTTAGCCTAGGCACAAAACCACAAAGTGGTAATTCTAGTTTTTTTTTTTATAGCCAGGTGCCATATTCTAGTAGAACTGCTTGCCAGACGTGTGGGCAGCTGTTGTAGCAACATATTAATGATCAATGATCACTAATGATGATTACATGTTCAACAATCACATGAATGTAAGTTCTGCATAGGGCTGAACCCTCTCAGCCAGATCATCACCAAGAGTGGTTACGGATACCGACTATAGAATGGAGCAACCATCAGCCACGTCCCTTACATGGATGACATCCATGGATGCCAGGAGTGAACGAGACATCAATTCACTGATCCACACTACTAGGATCTACAGCCAGGACATCAGAATGTCATTCGGCCTGGATAAGTCTGGTCGAATGGTAGGGGGTTCAGGCCTATGCAGAACAGCAGCGGGGATGGAGCATCTCCTTGGTAGATACCGCACTTGATGTTGACTTGTGCAATTGGCTTGAAGTTGGCCTCTAGGGTTGTTTTCCACATTCCCATTGAGTTCTTGATGAAGGCTCTTAGAGTCCTGTCGATGTTGTACAGTTCCAAGCATTCCAGGATCCATGTGTGAGGCATTGAGTCATAGGCTTTCTTGTAGTCAATCCAGGCAGTGCACAGGTTGGTATACCTGGTCTTGCAGTCTCGAGGGACTACTTTCCCTCATGCGCCTGCTCATCTTAGCTGCTATAATGCCTGACAGGAGCTTCCATGTTGTGCAGAGGCAGGTTATTGAGTGGTAGTTGGATGGTACTGCTCCCTTCTGAGGGTCCTTCAGGATCAGGACTGTCCGGCCTTCAGTTAACCACTCAGGGTGGGTTCCATCCATTAGTAGCTGATTCATTTGTCCCGCCAGGCGCTCATAGAGTGAAGTTAGCTTCTCTAACCAGTAGGCGTGGATTGTGTCAGGGCCTGGTGCTGTCCAGCTCTTCATACTTGAGACCCGCTCTTGAATGTCTGCCACTGTGATGATTACTGGGTCAGGTTGCTGTGGTCTGCTCTTTGGCCCCCCAGCCACTGGGCATTGTTGTTATGTGATGCCTCCTTCTCCCATATGCTCTTCCAGAACTGTTCAGTGGCAGCCGGGTGGCCAGGGCTGTGAGCCTTTGCTTGGCAGTCTCCAAGGCCTCAGGTATGGATAGTGAGTTGTACTTCTTAGGTACCCCTTTCTTCATCGTTCCTTTCTGCAATTCTGATAGCTGGCTAACTTCTCTGCTTGCTACCTTGATCTTGGTCTCCAACCTCCTTCGCCATGGAGGATACTGCTCCTTATGGCCTTTGTTGAACTTATAGCCAAGCATCTCAAGGATCACGGTTGCTGTGGTATATATGAGCTTGTTGGTCTCAGTGATGGTCGTAGTAGGGATTGTTCTTAGTGCTGCATTTACATCATCTAGTAGACTTTCAGAAGGCACTTCACTTAGTCTTGGTAACCGACCACGGGGGTTCCAGGTGTCCATCTTGCTCTTGAATATCCACTGATCAGTCACGCTCTATACTGCAACTAAAGACTCACTGTAGAAGTCATGTCTTTACCTTCTCCTCTCGTGTCGTCCCACTGCCCTCACCGACTCCTCCATCCCTGGGCTGCATCTCCAGCACAGTGCGGAAAAGCTTCTCGGAGGTTTGTGTGAGGAAGCCGATCTCAGCGTTGGGATGAAGACCATACAGGTAGGGTGACTCGTCAGGCAGGGTGTCATCAATGTACTGGAGCAGAAATCATGTCAGAACACTTGTATCATAGGAGGTTTTAACATAAATGTACCAATTTCTTGTTGAACTTCAATTTATTCATGAAGACATGGACTATAATTATGAAACTTGCACAAAATCCTGTCTGACATAAAGGTCACATAAATGTTTGATTTTAACTCCAACCCTAACTATCACCCAGGTTACTTTAGTTGAACAGTTTGAAGACTGCCAACTGTAATTACTTCCAGACTCAAAAGTCCCTTTTTTCCTACTAAGGTGTTTCTTCTAAAGTACTGATGACAAAGGACAAGAATGGAACCATATAAATGTTGAGATATTTTTGGGTGAAAAATCAAACACTCAGGATCAATCGACAGACTGCTAATGACTATGACAAGGGGAAAGAAATGTGGCATTTTCCATCTGCTGGTCCATGATGAATATCAATATGCTTTTAAGTTAGTGCAGATGAAAGTGGAAGCTCAAATGTGAAAGGCTGCTTTTTGTGAGGCACTTTACATTAAATAAAAAAGCTCTTCTAATCATAATGTCCTGATGAAAGTTTTGATGGAAAATATACTGGCTTTTAATACAGAAACATGTTGTACTCAACTTGTTTGATCTCCTCTGTACTTGCTGGCTAATATTTGCTGACTGCAACCACCTATATATATATATATATAGTACTTAAAAGGAGTAAAACTGCTGAGTCAACCAGTTCTTTTTCATGTATGTTCCATCTCTCTTCTCTCCTATATATACTGTAAATTTAATACAGATGGTTGTGAGGGAGGTGATGGCCTAACAGACCCCTGGGGACCCACAGGCATGAACAGCCAAATTTTAACCACTCAGCCCCCAGAATGGCTCTGTGGTAACAGCCACATGTAAAACGCTCCAGCTCTTCCTACTGGAGCCACTATGACAAGCCAGGATGTGCCTAATGAGCAGCACCTAGACTGAGAGACAACGGAATTCAAGCAGTACTCTCCGCTCCCTCCAGGATCCCAGGGACCTCATTTGGATAATCTGGACTGTGTGCAAGAACATGTTACCTGAACAACTGTTTCTCACATAAATGTTGACAGTTATCAGTTTTTCATAAGGGACACTGGTGAAGCTGGTCCCCTGCAGCTTAAAAGCAAAAAAAATCAAACCAAACTGCAATTAATCCAAATACCAAACAGAATCAACTACAACATGCTTGGCTTTGCTTATTCTATTCATTTGAAATAATGATAAATAATATGTGAGTCTCCACATGTTGTGCTGCAGCAGCTGATACAAGTACGTGGCTCATGTCTGCTGTAAATCAATGTTTGTGTTAATGTTGTGTTGTTAACTAACAATAGACGACAAGCAAGATGAGGTAGACTGAGGCGAGGCAGTAACCTGATGATACCTGGAGCTTTCACAGATCATACAGTGCCTTGCGAAAGTATTCGGCCCCCTTGAACTTTGCGACCTTTTGCCACATTTCAGGCTTCAAACATAAACACATAAAACTGTAATTTTTTGTGAAGAATCAACAACAAGTGGGACACAATCATGAAGTGGAACGAAATTTATTGGATATTTCAAACTTTTTTAACAAATAAAAAACTGAAAAATTGGGCGTGCAAAATTATTCAGCCCCTTTACTTTCAGTGCAGCAAACTCTCTCCAGAAGTTCAGTGAGGATCTCTGAATGATCCAATGTTGACCTAAATGACTAATGATGATAAATA